TGCAGAAGCTGTTAACAGTCTTTCCTTTCCATATTTAGCATTTCCTTCAGGAGCTCCTGCAAGGTAGGCCTGGTGGTGACAAGTTCCCTCAGTATTTGCTTGTCTGAAAAGAATTTTTTTCTTCTTCACTTATGAAGCTTAATTTGGCCAGATATGAAATTCTGGTTTGGAAATTATTTTCTTTAAGAGTGATGAATATTGGCCTTCAATCTCTTCTGGTTTCTAGGGCTTCCACTGAGAAGCCTGCTATTAGTCTGATGGACTTCCCTTTGTAGGTGACCTGCTTTTTCCCTCTGGCTGCCCTTAACATTTTTTCCTTCATTCTGACCTTGGAGAATCCAAGGATATTGTGTTTTGGGGTTGGTCTTCTCATGGAGTATCTTACTGGGGTTCTCTGGATTTCCTAAATTTGAATGTTGGCCTGTTTTGTTAGGTTGGGGGAGTTTCCTGGATGATATACTAAAGTATATCATCTTGATTCCATTCTCCAACTTGGTTCCATTCTCCTCATCTCTTTCAGGTATGCCAATCAGTCATAGGTTCAGTCTTTCTATATAATCCCATAGTTCTGGGAGGTTTTGTTCATTCCTTTTCATTCTTTTTTCTCTATTTTTGTCTGCCTGTCTTATTTCAGCAAGATAGTCTTCAAGCTCTGAAATTCTTTCATCTGCTTGGTCTATTCAGTTATTGATACTTATGGTTTCATTGGGAAGTTCTCACGTTGTGTTTTCTAGCTCCATCGTGTCATTTATGTTCCCATCTAAACTGATTATTCTGGTTACCAGCTCTTGTAATGTTTTATCATGGTTCTTAGCTTCTTTGCATTGGGTTAGAACATGCTCCTTTAGCTCAGCGAAGTTTGTTATTACCCACCTTCTGAAGCCTACTTCTGTCAATTCATCCATCTCAGCCTCTGCCCAGTTCTGTGCCCTTGCTAGAGAGGTGTTCTGATCATTTGGAGGAGAAGAGGCACTCTGGCTTTTTGAGTTTTCAGTGTTTGTTTCACTGATTCTTTCTCATCTTCATGAGTTTGTCTAGCTTCAATCTTTGAGGCTGCCGATCTTTGAATGGGGTTTTTGTGGGGACTTTTTTGTTGATGCTGTTGTTGTTGCTTTCTGTTTGTTTTCCTTTTAACAGGCCTCTCTTCCATAGGGCTGCTGTGGTTTGCTGGAGGTCCACTCCAGATCCTATTTTCCTGGGTCCCTCCCACACCTATAGGTGTCACCCGAGGAGGCTGCAAAACAGCAAAGATGGTTGCCTGCTTCTTCCTCTGGGATCTCTGTCCCGGAGGGGCACTGATCTGATGCTGGTGGGAATGTTCCTTTATAAGCTGTCTGGCGACCCCTGCTGGGGGGTCTTGAGCAGTGAGGAAGGATGGGTCAGGGTCCAGCCTAAAGAGGCAGTCTGGCCACGATCTGCCACAACCCATGTGCTGTGCTGTGGGGAATTCCTCCTGGGTCAAAACCATCTAGTCTCCCGGCACCAGCAGGGGAAAAATGGCAGACCCGAGCTGCAGTGATGGCCACCACCCCTCCCTGGGGGAGCTCAGTCATCTTAGGCAGCAGGCAGCTGCGGTGATAACAGCCTCCCCCACCCCTCTGGAAACTCTTAGCAGAGTTAACAGAACAGAGCTGTTAACAGACCTGTGCAGAGTTAACAGAGCTGTGCAGACTCTCAGCAGCCACTTGACTGGAGACTGCCTAAAACTGCAGTCACGTGGCTGCTGAGAATCTGCACAGCTCTGTGCTTGGGACCCAAGGCCCTGGTGGTGTAGCTCACAAGTGGGATCTCCTGATCTGTGTGTTGCGCAGATCCGTGGAAAAGAAAGAAAGAAACAGAGAGAGAGAGAGAGAGAGAGAAAGGAAGAAAGGAAGGGAAGGAAGGAAGGAAGGGAAGGAAGGAAACCAGCTCATCCACCATTTACTCCAAAAAGCATTCTTTCCCTTCCTTTGTACTCCTAAGGCTTACCTCTATCTTAGCATTTACCCATTAATTTGAAATTATCTGTTTATGAACCTGCCTCTCAACACTAACCAAAAGCTATTCAAATGGAGGGATCAGCCAGGCATGGTGGCTTATTCTGTAATTCCTTTGTGAGGCCCAGGTAGGAGGATTACTTGAGGCCGAGAGTTCAAGATCAGCCTAGGCAACATAGCAAGACACCATCTCTGCAAAAAAATAAAAGTTTTAAAAAGGAGAAATCATAACTGGTCTTTGTGCCCCTGCTCTAAAGCTTACCACAATGCCTGCCACATACTGGGCCCTCAAAATAAATTACTGATTAATTTTCACAATGGGGCTACGAGGCAGGCATTACAAATGAAAAAAACTAACACCCAGAAAGCCAGTTACATACCAGGAGGTGGGAGGGCAGCAACTTGAAACCAACTCTACTGCTAAGGCCTAGGCTCTCTCAAGTACAACCTGGAAGACATGAGTAAGCATGGAGGTGGAGATGAGAATGAGGTGTTGGGGCACCTGCCTGGGACATGATGCGTGAGGAATGGAGGGATATGAAGGTGGACAAGATTCTGGAGGGTGGAAGAGTATGGTCATGAGGCCTTGGCATTGTGGCTTCTAAGCAGAGCCCTGATAAGCTAAACTGCCTGGCAATGTCAGGCCGGGCAGGTTGGTCTGACGTTGCCAGTTTAGCTGCCCAGGCATGTCTGCTAGCTAAATCTAAATCCTGGGCCTGAGGCCCATGTCCCCACAAATACCCACAACTCTGCTGCACAACCATATTCAGAGTCCTGCACTTACTCAGCCTCTTCTTGCTGAGCAAGCAGACACTACCTCTCTTGAGTACAACCCTCCAGGAAGTTCCTAATGCATATCAAGGCAGGAATATCCAAATTATATTAGAAGGCCAGGCACAGTGGCTCACATCTAGGATCCCAGCATTTTGGGAGGCTGAGGCAGGTGGATCACGTGGGACCAGGAGTTTGAGACCAGCCCAAGCAACATGAAAAAACTCTCTACAAAAAAAAAAAATAGCCAGGCACGGCAGCATGCACCTGTAGTCCTGGCTACTCAGGAGGCTGAGGCAGGCGGATCAATTGAGCCCGGGAAGTTGAGGTTGCAGTGAGCCATGATGGCACCACTGCACTCTAGGGTGGGTAACAGAAGGAGACCCTCAAAACAAACAAGCAAACAAACTAACACAGTATATTAGAAGATAAATAAATATGGACTTGTGTGGACAAGAGTGTCTGTGCACCTCAGCCTCTCCTGAGAGGTGCCTCTTCTCCCACCCACCTTCCAGGGGCCTTCCCCTACAAACCTAAACACAGAAGGCAGCCAATGAAAGGGACCAAGAGGCAGATTCATGAGATAAGCCAAGGAAAGCCCAGGTCCAGGAGCCCATAGAATCAAGAGAATATTCTCAGACAGTAGCAAAACAGGAGGACTGTTCAACACAGCTAAATGCATGCAACAGAACATGGCCATCCCCTGCACGCCCTTCTCTGGAGCTCCTTAGACGAGAAGATGATTTCTTCTGGACAAGGAAGACACAGGACATGGGGTGAAAATAATTCCAGCAAAAGAAAGCTAAATACACCATCCCATGTTTGCAAAACACAGGAAAGGTAGCGAGGGGATGGAGAACCAAGGATAAAGGTAGGATCCCCTTTTCTGGTAAACTGCATGCTAAACAAAGGTGAGGGGCCACAATTAGCTCATCAGCAGGGAACTCAGGGCAAGAATACCCTGCCCTCTGTTCTGTCCTCACCTGAATCTCTGGGACGAAGCCAACTTGTCACCTCCCTAAATGGTTCTAGAAACAGAAGACTTCATCCCTTGCCCGGGGAAGGGATTTCTAGGTCTTCAGTTCTAATCATATTTTTTATGCACGAGTGGAGACATTCAGATACATGGCCCCCACCCTGTTTCTGCTCTGCAGACTGAGATAAGAGCCTTACGTTTACAAAATTTCACAAGAAACTGGAATTTGTTGCCCTTCTTTTCCATCTCCCCTCAGCCAGCTCCACTTTTCCTGGGATGTGACGGAGACTCGTTATCAGCTGGACAGCATACATCCCAGAGCTGGAGGGGAGCACGAGCGACCCTGACTCACCTGCCCTTGCTCAGGGAGGGAAGGAAACCTGTGAAACCTGGAAATCCCCTCTGGGGGAGGTGTGGCCAGCTCCTAGGCACCACCTCCGCAGAATTTCTCCAATCATAATAACAAGAAGGAAAACAAGCAGCTATCCAGTGCTTTCTCTCTGCCAGCCATCATGCTCCACAAGTGTTATGTCGTTAAAAGCTCCCAACAGTCTTATGAGCTGGGCACTGTCATTCTCCCCACTTTGTGGATAAGGAAATATAGCAGTCGCATAAATTGGTCTGGGGTCACCCTTGGTTTCCCATTGGAATGTAAGCTTCCTGAGGTTAGAAGTTGTTTTTATGGGCTGGGTGTGGTGGCTCACGCCTGTAATCCCAGCACTTTGGGAGGCTGAGGTGGGCGGATCACCTGAGGTCAGGAGTTCAAGATAAGCCTGTTTTTATGGGCTGGGTGTGGTGGCTCACGCCTGTAATCCCAGCACTTTGGGAGGCTGAGGTGGGCGGATCACCTGAGGTCAGGAGTTCAAGACAAGCCTGGCCAACACGGTGAAAACCCATCTCTACTAAAAATACAAAAATTAGCCGGGTGTGGTGGCAGGCACCTATAATCCCAGCTACTCGGGAGGCTGAGGCAGGAGAATCCCTTGAACCCAGGAGGCAGAGGTTGCAGTGCCATTGCACTCCAGCCTGGGTGACAGAGTGAGACTCCCTCTCAAAAAAAAAAAAAGAAGAAGAAGAAGTCGTTTATATGACGCTTTGGGAGTGATATCAAGAATATAAATGCTGACTGACCAACTGGAAGATTCAAAGCACCATGGGTATTTAATAAATGTTATTATTGATCACTATTCAAAAATCATTAACATGATTTTACATATCTCAGGAAGCAGTACCACAAATAATTCTGAAGTTACTGTATCAATAACAAATTATGTAAGTGACAAAATTGCATTTGTTCACAAGGCTAGACATAGAGCCTATTTGTTTTCAGGAGTGTGGACCTTATTTGTTTTTGTTGATAAGAAAGATAAGCTGCTCTGGTATAAGTAACGATATTTAATTGCTATTACATAGTATCAAATCAGTGCAAAAGGAAAAATCACAGGTCACGAGATATATGGCAGAAGTTAGAAGACTGTAAGGGAATTAAATGAATTAAAGGCTGCTTCTGTGACTCAATTAATTGAATGATATTGAAAAGAGAAGGTAGAAAGCTGGATTCAGGGCTGATTTCCAGGAGCCTAGTTGTAAATAATTAGGCCATCCCTTGGATGTGTACACGACACCAACACCTCACAGCCTCCACAGGAGCAGGGTTCATCTCCTCCTCCCAGTACCTGCAACAACAGAACCAACACAGAGACACCAGCAAGCATTTCCGCAATCACAAACCCCACCTTTCTCTTATCATGCTGTTCTACCTTTCTTTTCCCTATATCCTTCACTTCTTACATTTTAAATCTTGTTTTTCTGTAAGCTGCTTCAAATCCTACCTGAATAAGGCAGGGTATCGGAAAATCAATACACTCTACAGGAACTTAACCGAAGGGAATTTCCTGTGAGCAGCACAGGGCCTTGACTTTGCGCCTGGAAAGGTGTCCTCATCACATCATTGTCAGACCACCACAGGAACCCACAGCTCATCCTGCCTCTTCCAATTCATGTCTCACTCATTAAACCGTCCTGTTTGTTTGTCTGTCTGTTTTCTACTGAATCCTCTGGTTAAACAGCAGGAGCAGTGCAGTCAAATGTCTTGATAAAATGTCACACCTTTCCGTGAAATTTCTAAGTGTAGCTATGCAGCACGGAGGAAAAGCCACTCGGTTTCTAGTTACTGACCTGGGCGGACTTGGTTTTCTTCCGGGTTCCCGCAGTGGGTTTCCTCTCGAGCAGTGAGTTCTTGCCTCTCAAAGGAAGAAGCCACACTGGCCATGTAAAGAGAGTGTCCAAACCTTCCTCTTCCGCAGCTAGAGAGACTTCCCAGTTCCTCTTCTGTTTGGGGACTGGGAAGCTCTGAGTCCCAACTTCTCTTGTCTGATTTCACTTTCTCACCCACCAACCCCTGCTCTCACTCAACCACGAAGTGCCCTCAACACTGATCTCTGCCTAAAAATGACTGAAATCGATGTCCAATTTTGGGGGGATGACTGATTCTAATGTTGGGAAGAGGAGCTTAAAAGATCCAACCTCCCACTCAGTGAGAAAGGGGTCCCTGAACACCTTTCTTGAGACATAACCTCCCTACTCCCACTTAAATGCGAGCAATTCCTGCTTTTTGCCACAGCGAGGCAAGGCATTTCTGGAAGTTATGCTGCAAAGTAAATCTTTTTAGAGCTCCGGTTTCAAGACTTTGGGTTTTAGGCACCTAGATAGGTGCCAAGTTTTCATTTTGTTAAATAAGGATATTTAAAAAATAAATAGGTGCCCCCTTCTGCGCGGTCACACTGAGCCAGCGCCTAGGCCTTGGAACCGGGCCACAGCACCTTAGCTTCTTCATCCACCACCTCCCAACCATGGACCCCTGGAAAGTGAACGCACTTCGGGCTTTTGTGAAAATATGTAAGCAGGATCCGAGCATTCTGCACACTGAGGAAATGTACTTCCTGAGGGAGTGGGTGGAGAGCATGGGGGGGTAAACTACCACCTGCTACTCAGAAAGTTAAATCAGAAGAAAATACCAAGGAAGAAAAACCTGATAATAAGAAGGTGGAGGAAGACTTAAAGGCAGACGAACCATCACGTGAGGAAAGTAATCTATAAATTGATAATGAAGGTGTGATTGAACCAGACCCTGATGCCCCTCAAGAAATGGGAGATGAAAATGCAGAGATAATGGAAGAGATGATGGATCAGGCAAATGATAAGAAAGTGACTGCTATTGAAGCCCTAAATGATGGTGAACTGCAGAAAGCCATTGACTTATTCACAGATGCCATCAAGCTGAATCCTCAGTTGGCCATTTTGCATGCCAAGAGGGCCAGTGTCTTCGTCAACTTACAGAAGCCAAATGCTGCCATCCGAGACTGTGACAGAGTCATTGAAATAAATCCTGATTCAGCTCAGCCTTACAAGTGGCGAGGGAAAGCACACAGACCTCTAGGCCACTGGGAAGAAGCAGCCCATGATCTTGCCCTTGCCTGTAAATTGGATTATGACGAAGATGCTAGTATAATGCTGAAAAAAGTTCAGCCTAGGGCATAGACATTGCAGAACATGGGAGAAAGTATGAGCAAAAACGTGAAGAGCGAGAGATCAAAGAAAGAATAGAAAGAGTTAAGAAGGCTCGAGAAGAGCATGAGAGAGCCCAGAGGGAGGAAGAAGCCAGACGACAGTCGGGAATTCAGTATGGCTCTTCTCCAGGTGGACTTCCTGGGGGAATGCTTGGAACGGGAGGGGGCATGCCTGGGATGGCGGGAATCCCTGGACTCAATGAAATTCTTAGTGATCCAGAGGTTCTTGCAGCCATGCAGGATCCAGAAGTTACGGTGGCCTCTTCCAGGATGTGGCTCAGAACCCAGCAAATATGTCACAATACCAGAGCAACCCAAAGGTTATGAATCTTATCAGTAAATTGTCAGCCAAATTTGGAGGTCAAGCCTAATGTCCTTCTGATAAATAAAGACCTTGCTGAAGGAAAAGCAACCTAGATCACGTTATGGATGTCGCAATAATACAAACCAGTGTACCTCTGATCTTCTCATCAAGAGAGCTGGGGTGCTTTGAAGATAATCCATATCCCTCTCCCCCAAATGCAGCTGAAGCATTTACCGTGGTTTGCCATTCATTCAGATAATGTTTTCCTACTAGGAATTACAAACTTTAAACCGTTTTTAAACCTTAAAAATATTTAAAACAAATTTAAAGGGACTGTTAATTCTTATATTTTTCTTTATTAATCATTTTGGATTTTTTTCTTTGAATTATTGGGCAGGGAAGATACTTATGTATGGAAGATTATTGCTCTAATTTGAGTGAAATAAAAGTTTATTAGTGCAAGGCAAACATAAAAAAATAAATAAATAGGTGAAGGAAGGGAAAATCTACCATCTATAATCTACAATGATCATAGTTTCATAAAAGAAAGAACAACAAAACATCATAAAGCTATAATGTCAAAATAAAAGGCAGGCCTTTAAACCAAATCAATGTTTCTTTCTTTTTAAAAAGTCATAATTTTGCCCTCATCTCTGTCATGCCATGAAAACAGGTAAACAGTTGATCAAGATCATTGCCAGCCTAGAGTTTGGCAATAATTGCTATAAAGCAGGGGTTATTTTCCCAGAAGGCCTTGTGACCTGGAGCAGCTCAACCACCCAACCCCAGTCCACTGACCCTGGCAGGCCAACAAGGCAACACAAGTAAAACACAGTGCAGATCCAGCTGTGCTCTTGACACGCAATTTTGGATTAAACGAAGACACAAATATGATCAACAAAAAGTCTTGAGCAAAGACAGAACAATTAACTATTGCTGTGATAAACTTCTCTCCAAGTTCTATCAAATGTAAGTAGATGAGGCACGTGTCCCACATGTACAACAAAATATACACACGGCATATTAAAATTAAAATGTGCTGTATCTGGAATACATCTGAATCTGAAATGCTAAGCAGAGCACACGTGTATTCCCTAGGTAGTAGAGCTGTCCGGTGGAGAGAATCCCCAGCCGGTGGGAAGGAGGTTGGGATCTGGCCCTGACTTTGTCACTAAGTGGTTCTTAAGCCTGGGGCAAGTTGTTTAATTTTTCTGTGCTCAGTTTTCTCAGACATAATTAAGGGAGTTAGATTAAAATTATCTCTTAGGGCCAGTCCTGCTTGAAAATACTTAATCTAATACATAACAGCATGTTCCCTCTCTCTGAGAATTTGTAAGGCCTCGGGGAATGAGAAGAATGGTATGCATCTTTTCAAAAGCTGACCACGGGCTATCCCTAAAGCACGGGGACTCTCACTTTGGGCTATTCAAAGACATAACACCCACAATGCTGAACCAAAGAGCCAGAGGCACAACCCAATTAGCTCATAAATCAATATATGTGGACTTGAGCATCCATTGTGGGTCAACAAATGAGAGTAAAACTTCTCCAGCTACCCCCAGCTCCCTGGTCACCCTTGTCCCTCGAGTTAACACAGATACTTTCCATCAGTGGTAAAAAACTTCTCTTAGAGTGTTGACTCTGTGGCATGCATGTTACATGCATTACCTCTTTTAAACCTTAACACAATCCTGCAAGGTTGGTCAAAGTCTCTCCATAATACGGATAAGAAAACTGAGGCTCAGGTAGGTTAAGTACAGTCCAAGGTTACAATGTGAGGAGCAGGATTCCAATGGAGGTCTCTTGGACTCTAACATCTGCGCCCCTTCCTCATGTTCACCATATTGCATCCGTCACACCGCTGACATGCCCAAGAGACACATCAAAAACCCCAGGGCCCCTCAGACAAATGATCCCTGCATCCATCAGTGGTCGTGTCTGGTGAATTTCAGAGAATCTCCCATTAGACTTTGACCTTGGAAAGCCAACTGCTTCCTCCTCTCTGACAGCTCTCCTTCCCAGGGAGACCAACAAGGCATTGAAGCACCCACCAGACTTTCTACCGCATGAAGAGCCTCTGCATATAAAGCTGTAGGCAGACGGGCAGGCTTGGGGTGCACAGGGCAGTCATGGAACCTAGCTTTTCCAACTTTGATTAGTCTGGCATTTAATTCTAACCTGGTTTACTCAAACCAGCTGCTAAACGCTTGCTATTCAAAGTGTGGTCCATGGATCAGCAACTTCCTGGTATCACCCAAGAGCCTGTTAGAAATGAGGAATCTCAGGCCCCATATCAGACACACTGAATCTGTGTACTAGCAAGATGCTTCCGGTGACTTGAACATGCATGCATGTTTCAAAAGCTCCATCCAAGAATCACTGATGGGGCTTTTTGAAAGTGTGAATTTCCAGGAACTACAGTCCAGAATTGTAGAAAAGGGGCTGAAGAAATATACAAGGAGGCCCCAAAAATGTGTATTTTATTTCAAAACTTGTTTTCTTTTGGTCCCCTGTCCTCAAGAAAAATCAAGTCCTTTCCAGCTTGATTCAAAGAACAATTTTATTTTATGAACAGCTGTCCCTAGAGCCGTAGGGCTATAGGCCAGTGGACACGCCCCCCCCTCCCTAGAGGACATGCCAGTGTCTTCACACAGGCCCTCTCTTGGGCTGAGCCCCATCTTGCAGAAAATGCATGGAACAATTCTACATAAATCAGAGTGTTCCCTTCTGAGTCGTTTCCCATCCCCCAATCCCATGTCCCCCAGTTCATAAGGAGATTAGACCATCATCCCCATATCAATAGCAGAACTCCTATATTTTATTTTCTACCATCCTGATCTGTATAAATTTAGGAAAGAGGGAAGAAGAAAGGAAGAAAGGTAGAAAACGAATTAACATTTGTTAAAAATTTATATTATATGTCAGGCCCACCCTGTTCCCTAAAATGGTTTTGGGGTTGTTTTGTTTTCTTTTTTGAGATGGAGGTCTCAATATGTTGCTCAGCCTAGTCTCAAACTCCTAAGCTCAAGTAATTCTCCTACCCCAGCCTCTCAAGTAGTTGAGACTATAGGGGTGCACCAGACCCAGCTCAAAACAGCTTACATACACCTTTCACTTAATATACATAAAAGTATGTAAGATTGATATTATTGCCTTAATTTTAGAAGTGGAGACTAAAGCTCAGATAGTTTAAAAACTCTCCCAAAGCAAGGATTCTGAACAGGACCCAATACTAAAGTCCTGTCACATTATTTCTGCTACCCCAACTTGCCTATATAACATATTATGTAAATAAAAATTTTGTTGAGATATAATTCACATACCATAAAATTCAATTTGGTAGTTTTTAGTACATTCACAAGGTTGTGAAACCATCCCCACTAATTACCTCCAGAACATTTCCATCATCCCCGAAAGAAACCCCAAATCAATGAGCAGTCATAGTCATTTCCCATTTCCCGCACCATCCCTAGTCCCTGGCAATGACTTTGTGTCTCTATGGATTTGCTTCTTCTGGATATTTCATAGAAATGGAAGCATACAATATGTGGTCTTTTGTGTCTGACTTTTTTCACTTAGCACAGTCATTTCAGGTTCATCCATGTTGTCGCATGTATTGGTACTTGATTTATTTTTACAGCTGAACGACAGTCCATTATAAGAACATACCACATTTTGTTTATCCATTCATAAGTTGATGGACACTTGGATTGTTTCCACTTTTTAGCTATTATGAATAATGCTCCTATAAACATTTATGTACAAGTTTTTGTGTGGACATACATTTTTAATTCTCCTGAGTATATACCTAGGAGTGGAGTTCCTGGACCATATAATAGTAAGTCTATGTTTAGCTTTCTGAAGAAATGCCAAACTGTTTTCTAAAGTGGCTACATCATTTTATATTTCCACCAGAAATGAATGAGGGTTCAACTTCTCCATATCTGTGCCAACTCTTATTATTATCTGTCATTTTTATAGCAATAATTCTAGCTGTAAAGAGGTATCTCACTCAAGTTTTGATTTGCATTTTCCTAATAACTAATAATGTTGAGCACCTTTTCGCATGCCTATTGGCCATTTGTACATTTCTTTGGAGAAAGTATTCAAATCTTTGCCCATTTTTAAATTGGGACATTTGTCTTTTTGTTGTTGAGTTGTATTCTTTATATATTCTAGAAACTAGGCCCTTTTCAGATATATGATGTAGATTATCTTGTCACTTTTTTTTTTTTTTTTTTAGATGGAGTCTTACTCTGTTGCCCAGGCTGGAGTGCAGTGGTGCAATTTCAGCTCACCGTAACCTCTGCATCCCGGGTTCAAGTAATTCCCCTGCCTCAGCCTCCTGAGTAGCTGGGATTACAGGCACATGCCACCACACCTGGCTAATTTTGTATTTTTAGTAGAGATGAGGTTTCATGATGTTCACCAGGCTGGTCTCGAACTCCTGACCTCAGGTGATCCACCCTCCTTGGCCTCCCAAAGTGCTGGGATTACAGGCGTAAGCCACTGTGCCCAGCCCTTTTCACTTTCTTGATAGTGGCCTTCAAAGAACAAAAGCTTTTAGTTTTGAAGTCCAATTTATCTATTTTTTCTTTACTTATTTTTGCCTCAGGCATCATGTCTAATAAACCGTTGCCTAAATCAAGATTATGAAGATTTATACCTATGTTTTTTCCTAAGAGTTTTATAGTTTTACATTTAGGCCCTTGGTTCACCTTGAGTTAATTTTGTATATGGTATGAGTAGGGCTCCAACTTCATTCTTTTGCATGTGGATATTCAGTTGACCCAGTACCATTTATTTCCCCCTTGAGTTGTCTTGTTACCCTTATCAAAACCCAGCTAATAATAAATGTGTGGATATGTTTCATCTCAATTCTATTTCATTGATTTATATGTCTATCCTATGTCAGTACCACACTATCTTGATTACTGTAGCTACACAGTAAGTTTTTAAATTGGGAAGTGTGAGTCCTCAAACTTTGCTGAGTTTTGTTTGTTTTTCAAGATCATTTTGACTATCCTGAGTGTGTTGTTATAGTTTTCCGTATACAAGTCTTGCATTTGTTTTGTTAAATGCATTCAAATGACCTATCTTCAAGTTCACCAATACTTTCTTCTACCAGTTCAAATATGCTGTTGAGTTCTTCTAGTGACTTTTTTAAATTGTAGTTATTGTACTTTTCCATTGCAGAAATTTCTATTTGGTTCTTTTTATCATTTTTATCTCTTTATTACTATTCTTTATTTGGTGAGACATCAATCTCATACTTTCCTTTAATTCTTTAGATATGATTTCTTCTAGTTCCTTGAACGTATTTATAAAGCTGAGTTAATATCTACGTTCAGTTAAGTTCAGTGTGTGGGCTTCCTCAGGGACAGTTTCTGTTTACCTGGGATTTTTTTTTTTTTTCTTCTGTATAAGCCATATTTTCTTGTTTATTTGTATATCTTATAATTTTTCTTCAAAACTGAACATTTAAAAAACATGAAGCCAGGCAAAGTGACTTATGCCTGTAATCCCAGCACTTTGGGAGGCTGAGGCAGAAGGATTGCTTACACCTGGGAGTTCAATAACAGTCCAGAGAACATAGCAAGACCCTGACTCTACAAAAACTATGAAAATTAACCAAGTGTGATGACATATGCCTATAGTCCCAGCTACTTAGGAAGCTGCGGCGGGAGGATCACTTAAGCCCAAGAATTTGAGGCTGCAGTAAGCTATGATTGCACCACTTCACTTCAGCCTGGGCAATAGTGAGACCCTGTCTCAAAAAAATAAATAAATACACACACACACACACACACAATGTGACAACTTTGGACCACCAGACTCCCTTCTCCTCCCTGAGTGTGTTTTTGTTGCTGTTTGTTGTTCTTTTTTTTATTGTTGTTGCTGCTGTTTCCTGACTTTCTTAAATTAATTCTGTGAAGTCTGTATTCTTTATCATGTGTAACCGCCAAAGTCTCTGTTCTGTTTGCTTATTGACCAGCTAATAAATAGAGATTTCTTTTTAAATTTCTTGAACTAATAACTCTGGAACCAACAAGTCTCCCAGTCTTTGCCAAGCACTTCTGCATGTGTGTTTTGGGGCATGCCTTCAATGATCAGATAGGCAGTTTACAGCTCTGCCTTAGCCTTCACTTCTTACTTGTGCAGAGCCTCAAGGTCAGCCAGAGGTGAGAGATTAGGGCCTTCTCAGGTCTTTCCTGGGAATGTGTGTAGCCCTGCACATGCACATGGCTTTTTAGATTCCCAGGGATTTGTCCAAGCTTTTCAAACCCCCTACAGACATCTCATTCCTCAGGGGTTTATTTTACAGTTTTTACTCAGCCTTTTGTTAGCCCCAACTGGAATCACTGCCTCAGAACGTTACAATGTTGAAAAATTCCAACTGATTATTTTTGACAAACATCTTAGCAATATAGGTGTTCACACAGAGGATGTTCTGAGTTAGGTCACATAAAGAAAAGCCCGGAGGACGAAACTTTACAGGCAACTTCCAAAAGGTCACAAAGTGACAGTTCTCTGGGGATGAGGCTTTTTGGGAAGCTCCAAACCTGTTCTGTTTCCTTCCATCAGCTGCTAGTTAGCTAATCTTCACAGTTACCATAGTTGCAAAGGCCCTCATGGAGGTGGGGCGAAGTGAGTGTGACCAGGGCTACTTGAAATGCCATAACGCTCATAGTTCTTAATGATATTCAACCATTTTTCTTAAATAAATGCTCCCAGATTGTTGCAAGGATTTGGTTAACTTCCAAAATTCTGCAAAACTTATTTTGACCATTTTTTGCTAGTGTTCTCATTGTTTTAATGAAGGAGTTGATTTTTCAGAGGTATTTATGCCACCATTCTGTCAGTGTTTCTCTTGAACGAACACATAGTAAATATTATCTTGATTCTAATCTACATTTTGTTTCTTTCTACTCACAAAGTTGCATATTTCTTTCCTCTTCTTCAGTGAGTAAGTCATAAAATTCAGAAAGGAGATGTGAAAAAGCATATTTTCTGATTTTTTTTTTTTTTTGTGCTATGGTGTTATGGAAGAATGTATCAGGAACAAGGTAAACCTAAGCTGTTTCTTTCCAAATAAATATAAATAATATATAAGTAGATGTAAGTCCAGAAGCATAGTCTTTCTCATTCTATGCTAGTCACTAAATGAATTGGGGATTGGAGACTTCTCTGATTAAGGAGGGGTGGAAGAGGGTATGTAATCCAGGAAAAGAGGGTTTTTGTGCCTGGGTTTCCTGCAGTGAGAAGAGCGGAACTTCTCAACGGACCAGGTATGTGATGATTACACAACTCTGAATTTCACTTGCTGGTATTTACGTCTTCTCAATGGCTTTCTTCAAACAGCAGATGCTGAAATGAGAGGTGTAAAAAAAACCATATTCAGGACATTCCCCTTCCTAAGCAAAACTGCAATTTGCAAAATCATCGGTGACAGGTAATGGTGACTGGTGATTCATTACTGATGATGTCTTGGGCCAAATTCCAGAAGCCAATGTATATTCAGAAGGGGCAGGGAGAAGATCTGCACGTATGACTTCACCCAGAAGCCCTGGCATATAAACAAGAGGTGAGTCAGTTTTACCCAATACCAGGCCTAGCACTTTCCAAACAGATTGAGACCATGGCAGTCCTCCATGCCATGCTGCTGCAGCCACTGAAGATGTTTCTGTGCCTCAGTCTGCAGCTTTCTTTTGCCACCTTTATAAGGTACAGTAACACCTGCTTCACCTTTGATGAATATTACACCATCACCCTAGACATCAAGGCCAGTTCACATATCTACGAAAGCAATGCAGTCTATTCTGGTGAGTAGAAGCCATGCTCTCTGCTGTACTTTGTTCCCTGAGGGAAATTAACCAGAATTTCAGAACACACTCCTCTATCGCTGCTACTCGCAATTATACAAAACATGTGTCTTCTGAACCCAATGGGAAGCAAGGGAAGGAAGAGAAAGAATGAGAATTAAGGGAGTGGGTTGGGGGGGGTGGCTATTTCTGCATGTTCCTTGTGAACTCAAGCCACAGGAGTGAGAAAGCCCTAACCCCAGAGTCACTGAGTCCCGGTAAGAGCATGCTTGGGGTAAATCCTGACTTAAATAAAATGGGCACTTTTATCATTTTAAGGGATAATCATTGCATTCCATTGTGTAATCTTTTCTCTTTTTGTCTTTGTTTTTCTGGAGACAGAGTCTCACTTCATCACCCAGGCTGGAATGTAATGGTACAATTTCAGCTCACTGCAACCTCCGCCTCCTGGGTTCAAGCAATTCTCGTACCCCAGCCTCCCAAGTAGCTGGGATTACAGGTGCGCACCACCACACCTGGCTAATTTTTTGTATTTTTAGTAGAGATGGGACTTCTCCATGTTGACCAGGCTAGTCTTGAACTCCTGGCTTCAAGTGATCTACCCACCTCAGTCACTCAAAGTGCTGGAATTACAGGTGTGAGCCACCGCACCCAGCCTCCAGTGTGTAATCTTTTCATATCTATTTGACAAAATTATGCTGCTGGGGATAACTGTATACTGCATTTAGTCCGTGGGTGAAAAAAAATCTAATAAACTATACAGGGGAAGTATTACTAACCCACTTTATGTATGAGAAGCCTGAGGCCAAGGGAAATTAAACGACCTGCCCAGAGTCTCCCTTCTAGTAAGTCATAGAACTGGCTCTTGAATCTTAGTCTGTTCATTCTTAATCCAATACTTTTCTTAGAGGTGTCCAGTAGATATTTTTTATATATCCCTTTTCGAATCAGCCAAACCTAAAAGTCAAGGAATATGCTTTCTAATTAGTTTCATAATAATAATACTTCGTATGGTGTTTACATGTAATAGTGACCTATTAGGGAGATACCATTATCATTTCCATTTTGTAGATGAGAAACAGAGACAGATGCTAAGTGACTCTTGCTCAGGTCCCGGAGCTACTTAAATGGTGAAGCTAAGATATGAACCAGCATTCCAGCTTCAGAGACCCTGCCTTTAACCACTGTATACTCTTCCTTACAGTAATGAGAGCTAACACTTCTTACGATGTGCTGGGCATGTTTTAGGAGTAGATGCTGTTATCATTTTACAGACAAGAACTGAGGCACAGAGAAGTTACAAATTTACATTAATAAGTAACCTAGCTATGATTTGAATCTAAATAGCACAGCCAAAACTCGTACAGCTTTTTGTCCAGCCAGGCTGTCCAGCTTCAGAACCTGTCTTCTTATCTACTGTGTTATCCTGCCTTTCTTAAAAGTCTAACTAACTTTTGCAAAGACCACCAGGGTGATCTCCACACTCACAGTCTAGGTCTCAGACTTCAGCAGGTGAACAATCATGGCATGCCTCACGCACTCACCTTGCTTATCTTTTGTCTTACTTTTAAATGAGGAATGACACTATGTGCTCCAGTTGTGATGGGGCCAGCTACGTCCCACTCCCTCAGGCAGTCGATATTGTCCTGACAGGGCAGGGAGGATAATCTTGTAATTCAAGATGAGCACAGGTGGACGGACATATGTGCAACCTGGGGGAGAGCCTGAGGGGTCAGAGGCACTACTGCAAAAGAGATCACAAGCCTCTGGCATTTAAGATAAAAGATTTTATCTTAAATCTTTAAGGTGAAAGATTTTGCTAATGCAACGGAAGAAAGAGAAATCCATCACTGAGCACGGGGGCTCACACCTGTAATCTCAGCGATTTGGGAGGTCAAGGCAGGCAAATTGCTTGAACTCAAGAGTTCAAGACCAGACTGGGCAACATGGCGAAACGTAGTCTTTACAAAAATCACAAAATTTAGCCAGACGTGGTGATGCGTGCCTGTGATCCCAGCTACTCAGGAGGCTGAGGTGGGAGGACGGCTTAAACCCGAGAGGTGGAAGTTGCAGTGAGCTGAGACCATGTCACTGCACTCCAGCCTAGGTGACAGAGCAAGACTCCATCTCAAAACAAAAAAAAGAAACCTATCATGTGAAGATGCTATGGAGGGGGAGACATGGGAGCCTTCTGAAAGTAGAAAGACAGGAGAAAGATGAGTCAACGTGATCCACTGGGGTGAAGGGGATCACAGCAGCCACAGAGGCGTTAGGGAGCAGGGAAAGGGAACGGGGAAAGAGGAGAAGAACTAAGGTTCCTTGAATGCCTACTTATGCCATGTACCCCCAAACTTTATCCAATTCCATTTTAAAATAAATGTGCTGTGAAAGCTCCGTGGCAAATTGACTCATGATACAAATGATTTAAGTCGAGGGTCAAAATCCTCACCCATGGAGATGTGAATTGCCAGATCCCACCCCCGTGGTTACACAGCAGGCTCCACGATTGCCTTGTAGGTGTTATTGCCAGAACTCAGGACTTCTGGGGACTCTGAGTAAACGGCCATTCAGGCCAATTGCTTTTCCTTATTTTGATTTTGAAATTCTTTTAAACTCTGGGGCTATGTCAACATTGGTAAATTGTGTATAAATGGCTTGGCAGGTCCCAAGAGACAACTGCAGCTCAAGCAACATCTTAGAACAGGTTTCCTGGGTCTGTTTTGGTATCAGTGAAAGAAACCCTTAATACAGTGACATTTACACTAAGACTGTGCTGAGCAACCATCTGCCTTTTTTTAAAAAAACAAAAACAAAACTTCTATGGGCAAGAGGGATGTGATTTGCTTGCTTTTCTTGCTAAACTTTAAGCCTTAAGGGCACTATACAACATTGGATGCATGACTTTTAAAATCAACCAGTGAGTAGTTACTTAGGGCCCTCCAGAGGCACAACACTGGGCTGTCCAGATACCAACACAGATGAAACCACAGCATGCAGCACAAAGTAGAATATGATTAAGAACTCAACAGAAAAAAAAGAAAAAAGAAGAAAAGAAAAAAAAGAATGAGAGTTAAACTGCCGAAGGTGAGCAAGGATCAGGGGCAGGTGCATTTGCAGAAAAAGGGAAAGCCACTTTAGAGTGGGAATACAAACAGCAGGCTGAGGCTAGGTTCTTACAGTCCAAAAACATGTGTTGGACACTGTAATCAACACACCAGAGGCAGAAATATAAAAGCAGAAATGTTGACATGCTCTAGAAGGAAGGACCCTTTGAAGGTTTGAACAGGAGTGTGTTCTGATGGACGTGCTGCATAAGGAAGTCTGGTCTGGCTGCAGCATGTTGCAAGGCCACCTAAAGGAGAAGAACCTAAGGCCAGAAATCCAGAAAATGTGGGTGCCTAAGAGGGAAGAAAGAGGACTTAAACCTCTTTAAGGGGAAGGGGAAAAGCAGGACAGGACACACCTGTGCAGAGCTCACACTGACGATTACCTGGATGACACCGTCTCTGCTCACCTTCTACTGCACCTGACGCACAGATCTAGAACAGCTGTCAGGTGCTCATTGAGCAAGCTGAGGTCTGTGGGATATGCATCACCCGACCGTGACTGGCAAAACTAACAACTAGAACACAGAACTGTAGTGTGCATATAGTCACATAATAACAATTGCAACGTATCCAGTACTCCCCAAGTATTAAAATCTTCACATTCTTCTCTTTATTCTCCAGGACCTTTCAAGATAGGTATCACGATCTCAGATAATGAAGGATAACGTCATTATCCCCAGACCTAGAACCAGGGCAGGTGCAAAGTGGGCACGCAAGAAGTATTTATGGAGTGAATGATGAACAATAAGGAAGCCGAGGCTCGGAGGTGAAATGACTTGCTCCTAAGTGTTAGAGTCAGAATTCAGATCCAGGACTGTCTGATCCTTTTGCGTTACATGATCAATTTGCTTCACTTTGTTAAGGAGAAGCCTTAAAAAGAAATTTTCTGTGGCTGAAAGGGCCCAGGAAAGAACAATAGTCTAGCATTGAGGAATTCACTCAGAAGAGATCTCCTAAGGGAGGAAATGGAGAGACAGATATTTTCTTTAAATGCCCTCTCCATTATACCTCCGAAGGCTGAAATTAACAAGTGGAATTAACAAGTTACTTGGGGTAACCCTCTAAGGAGTTAGGGCCCCTGTGGCTCAAAGGCACTCCTTCCCACACCCTAACAACAGAGACCAAGAGAATCAGCATTTCTGGAACCACAAAAAGGGTTTTGCTTTTACTTGGCCCACCTGGCCTTTCCACACGCATCAGCCTCTTAAGTCCCCACACTCCCCCTGAGAAGAGGACCAAGCAGGCTTGTATTCTCATCTGAGAAATGGGCCCTGGCTCAAAGAGGTAGACATTCGCTCCCAGAATCTCACCCCCCGTGTGTAGCAAAACCAGAGCTGGGTATAGGTTTTCTTTTGTCTGCCTTTTACTGTAGAAAATTTGGAAAACACCAAAAAGCACTAGAAAGAAAATAAAAATCATCCACAATCCCACTACCAAGAAATCACCACAATTAAAAATCTTGATGTATTTCCTTCCAGACTTTCAACTTCTTTTACAAAAGTAAAACCGCATTCTGTGTACATATTCTTTGTAACTTTCTTGTTCCACGCTTTGTTTTGATGTCACCGCCCGCATCCCTTGAGCTTGGCTCACAGGGAACAGACGGCTGATTGTGTCTTCACCATTTCACCCAGAATTCGTTTCCGTGAATGACAGCGTCTATGCTGTGGTCAGGAAAGCCTTGGACAAGAACGGTGACTCAGTGGGCCTCTGGCAAAGAGCGGATGAAGATTGCTACAGCAACTCCACGTTTTACGTGAATGATCAATACATGACAGTCTTAGAGGCACAGTGGCAAGCTCCTAAATCTGAGAACATAACTGAAGTGGAGATACAATAAGAACCTAGCTTGCTTTGCTTTGGGCTTTAATTTTCATATTGGGTTTATGCAGTTTTACACTAAGCAAGGAAGACTTAAAATACAATCCAGATGTGATGTGCAGTACTCAGCAGCCACATTTCATTACCGTCTCACAATGCTCTACCACACTTTCCATCTATAGGAGCTTGCAGACACACACATTCACATACACATTCACACACACACCACACACCACACACACACTCACACCACATACACACCACACACACACCACACACCCCACACACCTCACACACACACCACACATACATACCACACACACCACACATACCACACACACACCACACACACATACCACACGCACCCCACACACCCCACACACATACCCCACACACCTCACATTTACACCACACGCACATACATACCACACACACCACACATACCACACACAGCACACTCACATACATATCACACACACCACACATACCACACACACCACATACATACCACACACACACAAACGTACCACACACACTCTACACACACCTCACACCACACACATACATACCGCACACACCACACATACTACACACACCACACTCACCACACACACCACACACACCAAACACCTCACACAAGCTCGCAGCACACACACATACCACACACACACCACACACATACATACCACACCCACCACACACACACCGCACACACCTCACACGCTGACAGCACACACACATACACACCACACAAACACCACAAACACACACCACATACACCACACACAACACACACATACATACCACACACATACCACACACACAGCATACACCACACACTCATACCACACACATACATACCACATGCACCACACACACCACATGCCACACACACGCCACATATACCTACCACAAACACCACACACACCCCACACATACACCACACACACCACACACACACAACCACCCACATATACATACCTCACACACCACATACACCACACATACGCCACACACACTCACACCACACACACATACATACCACATGCACCACTAACACCACACACACCCCACACACACCACACACGACACACACACACCATTCACACCACACACGTACATAACACACACCACCACACACACACCACACACACATACTACACACACACCACACACACCACACTCAATACACAACACACACACTCACCACACACAACACACACATACATACCACACACACACCACAGACACCACACACACACCAC